ATTCAATGGAAAGTTCAGCTCAACTCATATGATTGTGGGAAAATTCTACTACCAGTCCTTCATCACCTTACACGAAATAGGGTGGCCAGCTCAACTCATATCATTGTGGGAAAATTCTACTACCAGTCCTTCATCACCTTACACGAAATAGGGTGATATCTCATTACACTACTCATACAGTCCATAAGTAGTATTATCGATTGCAACGGAAAACACGTGTAAGATTAATCGACAAACCGACTATAAATATGATATGGTAGTTGCACGGTTTGCAACATCTAACCTGGCGAGTGGGTAAGTAGTGTAGTAGTAAAGTATCCACGATACTTGAGATCCGAAATTACACATTCGTTGCGGGTACTGATGGACGATGAGGAGGCGAGATCGAAAGTGTAGTTCAGTCAAGACTGGATGAGTTACGCTTTTGGAAGGCAAAGCTGAATGCAAGCCACTGGAACCGCGAGACCTACTCATCGGAATGTGTAGAAGAACTTAATTATTTATCCGTAAATCATACAAGTCGATCTGGTATGATTAAGTTGTCAATCCAGAAATACGGGTGGTTACAATGAATGGAGATTATTCAATTTCATTAAGTTTTGTTCCTAAATGTGCTTCTACTCGAAGTTGGACGGCAGTTTAGACATCGAATCGTCATCTCATCAACCTCTCCAGCGCAATTTGTTGGTGTGCGTCGAGTTCTTACTCAAAATTAACTGACATCAATGCAAAATATGCATTGTTAATAAAATTAATGTGTTCAATTTTAAGGAAAGACTTGCGTTTATTGCAAAATTTGGTTGGAGGGAATCCGTGAAGGAGGCTTGGCTTGCGTGGAGTGAAGAATGGTGGATTGAGCGAGCGAGTCCTGCGTGATAGATATCGTCGAAGCGAGGAACTGTACATCTGAAATATGAAAAAAAACTGTACCTTTCACTCAGATTGAAAATGCGGGTGGGGGACTTGTAAATTGGCCTTTTTGGATACCAAAAAAGGGTTGTATTGGAGCTGTGGCTGTTGGATTCTGCGAAGAAGACCTCGTCTCCGCGTTCTGCGACCCCGAACCATCCGTGCTGAGCTTGCGTCTTTATGTGAGCAGCATTTACGAACAATAACATACAAATAACTAAACCATGCACAAGCAAGTATCCGTTAGGATCAATTGTCACATCAATTGTCACTAAGGCCTCGATTAGAGACTTGATTGAAATCAACCAAATTAAGAGCAACATTATCAAGAAGAACGAGTCTAGTAAGGTATTGGGAAACTTTTATTTCATATCAAATTCCACGAAGAAGCAATTGGAACGTCGATCTCACGATGAGATCACGTTCTGGTTGACACAGTCCCTCGTTTCCTGCGAAAATGGCGGACAT